CTTTGTCATTCTGCTTTCGCCTTTGCTCACATGTGCTTGTCCTGCTTTGAGTCTTTTGCAGCTCAGAAACTTAGTCCCAATTGATTGGTTCCTTGCACAAAGGGGAAATTTATGAAACTACTAACAGACTCAGTGGACGTGACAGAGGTGCTGGGAAGTTGGACATTGGCAAAGAAGGCAGAAGTGTTGAGAGGTTGCACAGTGGCGAAAAGGCTAAAGCGAAGGAGTCTAAGCTATGCCTGTGAATGTGTGTGGACTCCTTAGGTTTTGCACTACTACCTCGCTGATGACACCATCGAAATTTTGGAGGTGGCAGAAAGAAACAATGGCAGGGATCCATTCCCGCTGCTACTTAGGAGAGGGCGCCTGCCTCGTGAGACTCCAGAAAATTTACTCGGTGAGTAGAAAGGGGTGAGCTAGCTCGGCCGTACATGATGTCTTATGTCATGCCTACATTGAGGACAGTCCTTACTGAATTTCACTGAAGTTTCTACCAAAAAATCGGTCATGTAAATCCAGATGGTCGCCCTTGTGTGAACATGTTCTTACACTCCGTGGAACTTACTAGGTGAGGGCATTATTTGTTTTTATGTTGTCACTTGTCTTTTGTCTAGCTTTTTAGACTGTCCAGATGTGTGGATCAGGTTATTTGGTTTATGAACGTTATGTCAAACTCAGGGATGTTGCATGCATGTGCTGCCAATCAATTATCCAGAATGAATTTGAGACCTTTACACTTCTGGTAGAAGGATCACTGCAACTGGTTGTGACCATACTAACTGTGCACCGCATGTGTGCAAGATACATATATATGGTGCACCAACATGAGTTATGTGATCGTCGTTGCAAATGTCATCACTGAAAGGGTCTTGGTCTTGGTGACATCGAGAGAGGACCTCAGCAACATTGACAGAGGACTCAACGGCATCAGAATGGACAAGGAGCCAGGGCCATAGGGACCTGTTTCAACTTTTAAGCAAATGAGTCAGACCCGGCGCGGCGAAGCCGCAGCCCAGACACGGGGATGAGATGAAACGACGAAGGGGGGCCATGTCACGTGGGGTGGGCGCCGGCCGTGGTGGAGCCGCGGCACAGAAGCCAGCATGTGGACTGGATGGCAGTACGTTGGCTGGCAGTGCTGACAGTTCATGGGCGATACTCCCCCCGAAAGAAAAGCCAAAAAAAAAACTCAAATAACCCCAAGCCCATGTGGCTGAATGGGACACCCAGTCCTTTGGGACATCCATTAGATTGGAAGTTGGAACAATAGAGAGAAGATGAGCATGGTCCTTGAACAAGGGTGGCACAAATAAATCAAGAATGACACACATACTGAAAATGTATGGTGCCCCAATCGTGTCCAGGTGGAAAAAGTCCTGCTGTACGTCAGCCCCGAGCTGTGCCGACGCAGCACTGCTATGTACTTGTATTCAAACATGCGGCGGCCACGGCACAACACGACAATCGCCCAATGTGTCGGGTGAGGGTGTCGCTCCACTACATAGCAATTCTTCATCGGGAACATGGAACTACACACCACCATTTTTTTGTCTTTTGTGCATGTGGAGAGTAGTACGACGAGGCCTTGTATCTACCCATGTTCTAGAAGAAGAATCGTTCTCATTCTGCACATTTGGTAAGTAGTGTAGCCTGACACGCGGGTCAACGTGTGAACGGGATAATGGTCCCAAAAAAGAACAAAACGACAACCAATCTACAGGATCCAAAAAAAAAAAAAACTTAGGGAACAGCTGGCGCATGCAGCCAAACTGCACTACTCACCAAATGCGCAAAATGAGGATGACTTTCCGCTAGAACATGGAACTATACACCACCATATTTCTTGTCTTTTGTGCATGTGGAGAGTGGTGGGGCGAGGCCTTGTATCGACCCATGTTCTAGAAGAAGTTTCGTTCTCATTCTGCACATTTGGTGAGCAGTGGAGCGAGACCCTGACAAGGGATGACATGCGTGAAACGAAAAACAGTCCTCAGAAAGAACAAAAGGACAACCAATCTACAAGTTCTCAAAAACAAAAAAAAACAAAAGTTAAGGGAACAGCTGACGCGTGGAGCCAAAAGCGGTCCAGAAAAAGAAAAAAGAGCAACGGACAGAAACCTCCCGCCGCTATGTACTTGTATTCAAACATGTGGCGCGAAGGATTCGAAAACGCACCAGCCAATGCAGCCCACAAACTGCCGCGGGCCCAGCAGAAAACGCCGTTTTCCAAGAGAGGCATCCGGGCTTAGCGGGAGCATTACACGAGACCCAGCTTATTGAGAATTCTTGAAAAGGTTGCAAAAACATACGAGTCACTTTGACTCTTAGCTTGCTTTCTTGAAGCAAACACTGGACAGGGATATCTAATATATTACAAAATTTATTTCAGGTTTCGAAATGTCCAACCTTTTTTTTTTGCCCAAGAAAAACAGGTCCTTATGGACCGGGCTCCATACCAGTTCTGGGGATCATCAGTTGTCACATACCAAGATGGTTGCAAAAAAAAAAAAAAAAAAGGATGGTGCAGACCAGAACCAAGAATCGACCTCTCACAGATAGAGCAGGAGCGCAGCGGACGGCTAGAATACAAATGATCAGACCCAACCAATGTCAAAATGCAGACTGGACATACATCATCATCATCACACGGTGTGAATGGTCTGGCGCTGCACACAGGACGAAGGTGCCAGGCCTAACTCAGACACAGATGAGGAGGAGGGGGAAGAGACGAAGGAGAAGGGGGAAGAGATGACAATGTCGTCAACTCAAATGTCGCTGATAGCAATCCCAAGTAGTCCCCCCAACGTCTCTGTCCAAATGTCGAGTCTGAATCCCAAGTGTCGTCAATCTCTCTCTCTCTCTCTCTCTCTCTCTCTCTCTCTCTCTCTCTCTCTCTCTCTCTCTCTTGTGACGATATATATATATATATA